GCATCTGAATGGAAGACCGATTTCAACAAATCACACAAAGGCAAAAAAGCACTTGCAAAAATAAAAACAAAACGTACGCATTGGTTAATTAGTCAAAAATCAAAGTTAAGTCTTAAATACAAATTGCTGTTATGCTAAGGAATTATTAAAACCCACTTGGGCATAAGGTATACAAGCTTACCGAGAGCAACTTCAACATTCAAATTCTTCAGCGTTATTAAACTCAAACTGTAAGATTAATCACAGGAGCTCCGTTGATTGCATCTTATAAACATATGCATGAAGACTTACGGACTCCCAAAGTGAACAAAGAAATTGTTCATTTCTGCTTTCAATATCTTGATCGACTTAGTTGTCATTCTAACTTCTGAAGCGGTAAATATATAAATTGAAAGGATACCATGGGTTAGAACTACCCCTTAGAAAATATATGTAAATGCCTTCGTGCGGAAGCATGCACATGTTGTTAAGTTGTTGTATATATGTGATTCTCACGAATAAGACAAGATTAAACAAGCTCTGCATGCATACAAAAATAATAATAAAAATTGTAAAATTTTATTGTCAGTGGACACTAAAAAACAGATGCATATATGAAAAAAAAATGTGTATATACTTAAAGGGAATGCGTTTATTATACCTTTACTTGTGAAACGAAGACATGAGATAGGCGCGCTTCCTGTTATACCGTTCGATTTTGAATCATTTTTTGAATCGATCTAAACTCGTCTGTATGTCTGTCCATCTTATCTTCAACCTACAGATCGCAATTGACTTGAATTCCGAAAATGATTGTGAATCGATCGGTAAAAGAAGAGTCCTTTTTACTGTTACATACATTCGGACAAACTCAATATAACTGGACATTATAAGTGGTTTAATAATTTTAAATAACACAATGATGAGTTTCGGTGGACAAAGGATTTGGTGGAAGCGATACGATATCGAACCGCATTCGACATGGAACTGGAGAGAGTTAATTGACTGTATAACAGTTTCAGTTATTGATGGTTCTAGGAAGGCAAACGCTATGCATAGGTGGGCGTGAGTACAGCGACTTCTGATGGCCAGAAATAATTGGGAAAGAGAAAGATAGGCGATTGCGGGCCATAGTCTTGGAGGACAGTGTTTGATGGATTAATTTTAAAGCCTTACCGACAAAGCGCTCACTATAGCTACGAGCACATACCAATCGTAATAAAAGCATAATCTATCGCACTAACGATTTAACCTGGATACACCGACTAGATAGTCGCTCTTCTTAACTTCTCGGCTGTGTATGGCTCTCTTATTCCTTCAGTTATATATATTGTGATTGTTTTGCTTAAGCAATCAATTTCTGATTTAGGCACATTGATAACAAACTTCAATCTTTAACTATTCTATGAAATCCTAAAATTTCTAAAATTCATTTATTACATTGAAAAAAGGATCTAAAAGTTGCGGCAAATTTACCGTTAGACAAGGCTCCGCATTGATTCTGCATATCCTAAGAACTACTTTGTCTATAACAGGTCTCCCTCTCTTAGCGCTGCTCATATGTACAGCGCTCTATGCAAACTGTGTTATAAGAAAACCAGGTAAAGCATCGTAGCGAAGGACTTAGCTTAGGCTTAGGTATAACATAAATCAAAAAAAGTGTGTACCGTGTTGTATCAAAACTTTAATCGTGTTGTATCGAGACCGTGTAGACCGTAAGATACTTTGAAATAATTTCAATCGAAACCATGCTTTACAAGTACTGCGTGAAGCAAGAGACGCCTGCATATGTTTTCCATCTTTCCGTATAATAATAAATATATCAGAGCATCTCTGTACTTAAGAAAAAATCTAGTAATTCAAAATGTGATGTTGCAAGCATTTATTATGGAAAAAAAAAAAAAAAAAGAAGAGATATGATTTATAATACAATTCTTCATAAAGATGTTAGTGGCAGCCTGAAAGACAATTCGTGAAAAAAAGAAAAGAAACACAACAGCATTTTTTTTTTTTTTGTCTTACCTTAGTACGCCGACAAAACAACGCTATTTGTTGTTAGTATTTCCGTTTCAACCGCGAAGTAATACAATAACATAACATAACGTAACATGCCCTCCTACATGAACGTTTTTTAGATATATGCGTACGTATATACATGATTTTTAAATATATATATATATACGTATGCAGATTGTTGGATGCATGTCTTTTTTAAACAATAGCGTCTTTGGCCGTTAGAAGTTCTTGATTTTAAACTTTAAACATCAAACTAAAGAAAAATATTTACAACGTGTATGTATTTGCATACAATATCAACAAAATAATAATACAACAACAATAAACTACACAGAAGCTTTTAATTAATTACGCAAGAATTTTAATTCGGTTGTTAGGTGGAATATATTAACGCCTGAGTTGAATTGGTTGGTTTCTTGGTTAGTTTGTTGGTTGACTGTGCTTTTTGACCTTACAAAGAAAAGCTACATCGTTTGTTATCTGGATGAAGATTAACTTTGAAATTTGAAACAATGAAGAAATTATATTCGATTTAAAGAGCGTTAACGCTCATCTCTTCGATCGTTGAGGATTACTGATCTTGCCATTCTATCCGTGACGCATCAGAGATTTCATAAAGTATACGATCAAGATGTGATGGATAGATAGATAGACAGATATAATTAAATTGATTGATATGAGTCTCTATGGGATCACTTATGTGTATTCATTCTTAGCTATTACAAGCGCTGAAGGTGCAATTTCGTATACCTGCCCTTCGACGGCACCAAGTTACTCAAAATAAAAGATATTTGAAAGACCAAATGAAAATGGCACGCAAAAGCATGAAGGTGAAAATGATAAGTGCTCGTCCGTGCAGACGAGCGAGAAAAATTTCTGCGGGTTGTTGCACTACAAACCTCACCTAACCACATTTTTCTTTTGCGTTTGAGTATTATTTCCGTAAGGATAAGATGTAGAACAAGATTTAAGATCAATATAAGGCTTTTAAATAGGTGTCAGGATTATACCGACATTTCATACTCAGAGAACGAATGGGATTGAAATGATTTCGTTATGCCTGTCAACGATTTTTAGATCATAGTGAAATTATTTCCCACACACACATCACCAACGCTGTATATTCTTCCCATCATTCTCACAAGATATGAATTTCTCGCTTCTTGACTATTATTATTGGGTACTAAACACACGTAACAACATTTTAGCCTACGCCAATTCGCATTTATTCATATCAACAGCTTTTTTAAGTATGACTTTTTCTTAGTTAGATTGCGAGACGCTATTATACGGAGATGCGTATTATACTCCAGCATTGCATTTATGCGTCATTTACGCTTCCGATATCGGAAAGCATTATTCAACAACTCTCACAACTCAGCAGCAGTTCCCTTCAACATAAGCAGGAAAAGTAATGCTGACCGTGAGAAAGCTGCCAAAACTTTCAGCAAATACGTTTCGTACTTTCCGACAGGATAACTTACAGTTGCAGTCGTATAAAGTTGATGAAGTGGGTGCACTCGAAAAAATCACAGTTTGACAATAGCTGACTAAGTAACATCGTGTCTTGCAAAAAGATTAAAAAGCTCTTTGAACTGATTAACTGATATATATTCCCGTTATGTAAGTACGGTAATCGCTGCACTGAAATCGAGAATAAAGCGAGCGTGGGATGATCGATTAGGTAACTGATCTTGACAGACCGCGACGCCGTGTTCTTGGAGAGCAGCAGTGATACAGATTTGAATAATTTGCATGGAAATTTATATTAGATTATCCTATTGGAATCAGTCATCAACGAAAAATCAAAGATAATCATTCCTCCACCTTTGCACGATACCTAGGAAGTGTAGGCAGACCGCTCTTCGTTCGCGTCTGCAGATCTGATTAAGTGCTTAAAAATAACCTGCAAACGTTAAGCACGGGCTTTATATGCTAAAAGCTTATTTTAACACCACACGTCCCAGTGGGACAATAATAATAATTTGCCCTAGTTATGAGGGGCAAGCAAAAGTCGATTTGAAAGCGAACGGTTGCTTGTAAGGAATGCCCTTTGGAAGGCAAGGATGTTAATTTTTAATAATCCTACGTAAGAATATTTCTCTCGAAAGACTTCTTAAAAAAGTGCGAGAATCATGCTGTACTTATGTAAGGTTTGTGTGGATATATCAAAGTGCGTCTCAGATGCGTAAGAGATTTTTTAGTTTATTTTTTGATTATACATTTATAAAGGCATTTAGTATATTTAATTGGCATCTAGGTTTAAGTCAAGTCGTTTAACTTGAAGAAGAGGACAATAAACTTTCGACTTCCTTCTTCGCAACATGGACTAGGCAGACTACTCATCAATTTACGATTGATCTGTAGTCGCATCAAAAAAATTCTGGCTGCCGTTACATCCTGTCTCTCCACTTCTTTCCGATCAACAACGTATTACATGCACGTAAAGGGATATCCACAGAGGGATGGGTCATATTACAAAACAAAAATGTTGCGGTACACGAAAGCCTTAGATTTAACTCGAAATCTACTAAAGCGATATTAAGTGTAATGAGAATTTTGCCAATAAAACACCGCGAATAACGGAGTGGAAGAGGATTTTTCGCCGGCTTCACTCCTTTATGTTAGAGCAGACTTTTGGTCTATTTGGCGGATTACTTCTTTATGACTAAGGTCAACCTGTTAGCTTAATACAATATATCCAAAGCGAAAATGTTTAACGATACATCGGGAGGTACAGATTATCCGGACTAATAGTTCGCTGCTACAGAGTGAGGAACAGACCGGTCGTAATGTACAGATGCTGCTACAGTCACAAGTGAAACAAGGTAGACTTCCAATCCAATTTTGTTTGGCGAAAATATTGATTTAGCCGAGACCCTTTCTTTATGGCTTCCTACTAGATCGAAATTTGGAATTCTTGAACTACGTAACTATTCTTTTGATCTTACGATACCTGAAGCTTATGTTGACAGTAATGAAAGCTCTTAATTTTTACTTCTTACCTGTTAATGGGCTATAGTTGTAATCCAAATATCTATTATCGTGTAAGAAAGGGGTTGGTCCTGAAAATTGAAGTATTTTATTAGCAAAACCAAGAAATATTTTGTAAGAATTTGGTAAACTTACTTTTCTTGCTGCCGTTTAAATAATCTTCTGGATTGAAATAGGTGTTAATCCTTTTATCATCACCGATACTGCTACTATCGTTTCTCCTCATAAAGTGCTCGTCATAGCGATGACCGTTGCTGGGATGGCCGTACGAAGTTACAGAGTGTGTTGATGGTGCAGGCGTTGGCGTAGCTCCTTGGGACGGCTCTGCAGATGGGTGAGTAAATTCTGATGTATGGTAAGGGCCCCGTTGAGAGGTTTGTGACGTTGGCGGTGGTGGTGGTGGTGGTGGTCTGTCTCCATAAGAAGGAGGTTGAGGTTGAGAAAGCATAGGCGGAGTATTATTAAATGGCGTATACATTGAAGTTGGCATTGGGTGCTGAAATTGGTTGCGATAGTTTGGATCGTTAATCATGGCTGTTGAAGTAGGCTGTACATTATGAGATTCTGGGTATCCATAGGCAAAGCCGTTACCATAACCTGAACCAAACATTGGCTTTGGTGGAGGACGAATAATTGTCATGTTGTCGTGAGATAAGTCCATCGCAACAGAAGGCCTATTGTATATATCGACTTCAGGGGCATTGGCAGCATAAACACCTGGTGTATATGTTTCTCCGTTAGGAGCTGGATAATTTGGCTCATAAAGCATTGGATATTTATATAATGGATACATGTCGTTAGAGAAGTGCAAATGATCGCCATTGTTAGATGCTGATGCTGATGATGTTGTTGCAAAGGTGTCAGGCCTATTATCTTCGAAACCCGCTGCTGTAGGTATGGGATACTCAGGCGCGACTTCAGCGGTCGTGAGAGTAGTTATACTAGGCGTGGGATTTACTAGTAACACTGAAGTACTTTCAGGTTCATGTTTGGCGGGAAATACGGGTGACGTTGTAGGCACCAAACTTGTCTTTGAGTCGTCGCTCACATCTTGACGCTCCTGATCTACGATGGTATTGTCATTAAAGTCAAAACAATTTGTTTTGCGCGCATATAAATCGAAATCGGGATCGAAGATAACGCCACTTGGTCTGGCACCATCACCGTTCCCAAAATCACTATTAGTTCCGAATAATTCTTCAGATAGCTGACAAGTACCGTTACCACGACGATGTACTCTACAAGTAAATTAATTGATTCTTCCACCCACCTATCTATCTATTTATAAATGATTACTTACCCAAATGCTATAGATTGGCATTTATCACCTGCTTGAATGCATCTCTCTTTACATACTCTTAATGAATTAATGTCTTCGGTACGAAATGCTTTTTCGAACGGTAACATTGCCTCCAAAGCGACACGCTCGAAACAATCTGAAAGTAAAATGCAAACAAAAAAAAAAAAAAGAAAAAGAAAACAATTTGATATGTTACTGCAGAATGTGTCAAAGTGATTGATTTACATTAAATACCAGAAATACTTATGTAAGATGCATTTACGACACCGAGTGCAAAAAGCAACAATGTTGCTTGAAATGAATGGACAGCTTTCGCAGTGAAATTCCAAACAGAAATAGCGGCTATTTCCCGTCTCAATAACGCGTCATTCAATTCTTCTTCTACTTGAGTGATTATGACCTTTACTTCTGGATTTCATTATAAGTTTGCTCATCAATGGATAATAAGCGAATAGATGGAAGAATAATTATTCTATGTGAGCCAAAAATTATTATTCATATTCAAAAAAATGACCTTGTAAAAGTTGAATTTCCACAAATTCAAATCCCCTTTTTTATGTTACTATTGTTTCAAATTTACATAAATTATGAGAGCGTGTGAAAACATAAAACAGAGTAAAATATTAGGCCATTCGTCATTCATTGCGGTGTCATTTATTTGTTTGAAATAATCATAATCACAGCCTGGTATTTTAACTTTGTTTGGCGAAAATGAAGAGAATACTTTGATATTAAATTAGGCCTTTATAGCTCTATTACAACAGACGGACGGACGGACAGATGGATAAAGTTCAATAAACATGTCTCATTATTCTTTTTGATAAAAATTTAAGCAATCAAACCTAGGAGTTACAAGCATTTGATAAGCAGCTCGTAGTTCGCATGCGCTTTCATTATAGAGAAAGTTGGTGGATCTAGAAGAAGAATTGTCCTCTTTTTTATGGTTGGACTATTATGGAGATCTGGGAATAATAAAAGATATAGCTGGACTGGCGTGCATGTCAGCTTAACGTCTATTGTGTCGACACTAGAGATAGAATATAAGCCTTATTGTTATATATTGATCTGATATTTCGAAACGGTCCGGTACGGAACACATCGCGAAGGTCTTCGTGTTACCTAAACTCAATACTTAAACTATCCGGCTGTGAAATTGCAAAACGTGAGTATTTGATCCGAAGGGGAGCAGTAGCTAAAAGTATGAGTCAACTTGAAAAGAAGAAGTAAAAGAGAAGAGAGATGATGGCTGCCCTTTATTGTGTTACCGTTTTGGAAATTCGGTGACTAACCCATGATAGGTGACGCATTATATAACTGCGTGTACCATCGGGCAGGGTCAAGATACACTTGCTTAGATAGGCGGCCACGTAAATTGTTCAGAGTCATTCATAGTGAGCATAACTAAGAAGGATTATGTAATAAATAATCGAATCAAAACAAATTTATGAAATACTGATAATAACTGTGATTTGATTTAGTGTCCTAGCTATGGTAAATGCGTTTGCGGATCCGCCGGATATCGGCGATATTTAGTTTTTCTCCTACATACACATTTTAGGCCACAATATATGACAACCAAAAGGTTAATTGGCAACAAAATCCCCTCAGTCACCTTCAGTTATGTTTTTCCAACACACACATCTTAACTCATTTTTTTCCAACCGACCGTGTGTTATGCCTACAAAATCGGAGTGGTATTAAAGCGATATATTTCGGAGTGAAAGGAAGCAAATATAACGCTTTAAGCAAATTAGTAATGGTTGCAAATTCAATCCTCCATTGACCCTGTATTGATGGACTGATTAGAGCCATAAACTGTAAGTTTATGATAACAGTACTATATAACTTTATATCACGTGCGATTTCGAACTTGGCCCGTGCGTATGTGTTTTTAATTAAACTTATATATATATATGTAATAAGCAATTTGGTTATATGATCCCTCTTTAAAGAGAGGATTAGCTCTTAATTCGTGGAAAGAAGGGGGTTACAATAATCAACAACAAGCTCGTATACGATGTGTGATTGCAAAATGTGGAGAAGACGCAGACCCTCCATATATATCTATACAGTACAATTCCCTATAACATGGGCTCACACATCGCGGAAAAGTTGTGATTGTGTTCGTATGACATATTACAAGAGGATCGTATAATGCGGCAAGAGAACGAGGCAGGTTTTGCGATTTTATCACTCATTTGCCAAAACGATTAATTCCACAAAGATAGAAAAGTTGGAAAATATGTATCGATAAACTTTTATATATTTCTTGTGAAAGAAAAACATTTATTAAAAAAAAAGTTATTGTCATCATGTAGTGTTTAAACCTGATTACTGAAGAAAGTTATTTTAATGGGTTAATCGATTCGGGTTAAATGACTCGTACTACATAGATTTATATAATACAGAAGGTATCTACCGTTTTATAGGACGGTCTACTCCATTTTTCATATTATTTACACCGTATGCCGTAAAGATATCAAATATTACTTTTAAGCTTTTTGAAAGTACCAGGAAAACTTGGTACTAACAAATCATCTGGTCTACCTTTTAAAAACAGAGGAGCCGGTAGTCGTACTTGCTAGTACTCATCCTATTTGCTGTTCAGCCTGGGAATTGATTTTTTTGGAGTAAATAAATTATAAAGGTGATAAAAATAATGCTCATAACAAATTTATGTTGAATAGGAGATCTATCTTTCGAAACAACTTTTGATCCGATTTAAGTAATTTTTTCACTTGACACGGGAATAACAAAGATGCGACATGAAGCTCTTAAGTAAAAACTTGCTTTTAAAGCCGTATTTTAAGAAAAAGAGGAAAATATCACTTTGTTTTTGTGACGAGGATTAGAAGGACTGATATTATGGATTTCCAATCAAAGACAGTAGAATAGACAAACCTGTCTAAATTGATTTTTAATTCATAAACAAATAAAATCGCTATAAGGGAGCTCACCATTAAATACCTTACGCTATTTCAGTTAATATCGGAAAAATTAACGGAAAAATTTTCCGACCTTAACCATTTTCGAAAGCGTTCGTCCTTGGTTCAAAATATGCCGGTGCACTACATTTCATCAGAACATGTCAAAAATTGCAACTTGTGGATTGAGTAAAACAACCCAAGTAAAAAGTTCGATCGCGACCGAATCTTTTATACCCATCATCCTTATCCTAACAAAGGCAAGGAACTAAATTTTCACGCTCTGTAGTAAGGAGAGCGCCAAGTTCTGATTTATTGTATTTTGAAAATAAAAGCTTCTGGCTTATAGGCGCTAGGGCGTTGTAGGCGTGTCCTTTGAAAAATTTAGGTCACTTTCAAATTCTTTTGTCTATTTGTCGAAATGGGAGAATGTTTACCAGAGACGGACTGGCGGACAGTCTTAATTTGAAGCTGTTTCTGAATTTATATACTTTATGGGGCTCTTGAAGTTTGTTTCTGCGCCTTCTAAGCATATTGGGGAAAAAATGAAATTTCAATGCATTATAATTTTGAGGAGGTGTGGTCTTTTTTTCCATTTTTGTACAAGATGTATTTCCTAAGTAATGAGCACGAAAACAATTTCCTATTCCTTTGGAACAGCAGAGGTGTCCTCAGTTTATGGGGTACTACAGGCGTTTCCTTTGACAAATTTGAAGAACTTTGAAGTCGGCAGCTTGCTTTTTGCGGTCCGAAAAATGTTTATAACAGACGTTACACAGACGGACAGACACATGCGTTTATCGATTACAACGTCCGACCGTCTGACCTTTCGACTTTATTAATATAATTTATCATTCCGTTGCATAAATGTGGCACCCGTGTATGGGGCACGTTATGCAAAGGTGTCTAGCATTCACTAGATGAATAAAAATTTGAAACAAGAGCTATTAGTGAACTACAGCTAATCCAAACAAATTGTTTCGATCAGTCTACCATTAGAAATGGCCTTCTGAGAGGTTGAAAATACTGCATTTTACGCACTTGCGCTATTATTATGCGCGATTTTGTTTTCATAATTTTTTTTTTTTTGGCCGTCTTTGAAAATTCGCTGTTGGCCAACTATAGCGTATTAGTTTGCTATTCTTTCTTTTCGTCATGCACCAGAAATAACAACAACACACAATCGCAACATTTGTGGTAGCAGTTTAGTGCATGAAAACATTAGTATAAAAATTTATAAATTTTTGTTAACTTTTTTTTTTTTGTTATTTTTATTGTTCCGATTTTATGTTATATTTACTGAAAGGATGGAAATATGTTAGATTTATGCTTCGATTTCCAATAACCGGCGATAAGCATCAGCGTAAGATTCTCAGTGGAGATAAAGCTTTTTCTCCGCTTGTCAGTTTATTGGTCCATCATTGTGTCGTATGATAATGCCGAAGTTAAATCGACAAATTTTTTGTTTCGAAAACCAACCAACCAACCAACAATTCAGGAATTATTTAAAGCTAAAGGTAAAGCTAACGCTAAAGAGCATTTCCCCTTAAAAGGAAACTTCACGATAATAGAAAAACCATTTAACTTAAACGTTAAAATCTGTAGCGGTTTAAAAGTTGAACTAAATCTACCCTACGGTCCGTTCGACCAAGTGTCACGTAAAAATTTTCCATTTCCAAGTTTTGCATTAACGCGTGGTGGTGCTGAAAATTCGGTTTAAGCCGAAAGTAATTATTTTTAGTTTTATTGAAATACGTTTAGAGAAAACCAAACTCTTTTTTATGTTTTTTTTATTTTTTTTATTTTTTTTTGATGGAAATCTTAAAACATATACACTCACTTACCATTTCTAGCCGATACCAATTGATTATCCACCGATAAAGCATTAGTCCATGATGTAATATTAAACCATACTAAGGAAATCCAAAGAGTTTTTAAAAGATATTTACAATGAAACATTTTTTCCGGCACTTTTTTTTATTTTTTTTTTTTTACAAAAACCAATTATCAAAATTTCACATTTCGTTGCGGGCAGTTCTGTCACTGAACGCTGAAATAAGAATGATTTTAGAATAAAGAAAAGAACTTCAAAGTTACTCTTGAACAAAAAGAAGAAAAAAAAAAACAAAAAGAAGAAAAAAAAAAAACTAATTTTTTAAATATTATAAATAATTACAAAAAAAAAATTTCACTGCTTTGCGCAGAATACAAAATGTAAATAAATAAATGAAACGCAAACATAATAAAGAGAATTATAGGAAGGAGGAGAAGAGATTTATGATTAAAAACACAAGTAAGAAAATTTTACTCGTCTCATGGCGAATCTCAGATACGCTCAATTGCTTATGTTTAAAGTGTATTTACTTTAAACAAATCCAAGTTACAGCTGCAAAGTACTGAAGCATAAGCGCTTAAGCAAAGTGAAAAGATCTCTGCTTGAAACTCTCACGCTTTCTACGAAGGTGTAAGGTACCATAATTGTTGCCATCCCTTTTATAAATAGGCGTTAGAAATCTAGCAAACTATATATATACACTCTTAACCCAGCAATGCGTATATATACATACATGTATACATATATATATATATATATATGTGCATATGTACTGCATTGTTCTACCTTTTCTTTTGATTGATGACATTTTCGATTCGCTCATTGACAACTAACTTTACGTCTCAAGAAAATATTACTTCTTTATATGGACATATATATTTTTATTATAACCCATCTTGAATGAATTTGATATATTTTCTAATAATACATTAAACAATAACGGTATACTAGGCGTGTTCAGAAAAAAGTACGGACTTTTTAGATATCGTATGTTCCCAACATATATGAATCTATCATTCTTGATCAATAAATGAATATTTTCCGGGAAAAATAAAAAGTCAGGTTTTTTTTTTTTGAACATATCTCGTATAAAATTTAATTAGGATACATCGTGGGCTGTGGTTTGTATAGGAATAGCTTTCTCTGAATAGGCGAAAACAGCGCCAAAATGTGATACAAATCATACAAGTTATGAAGTCATGAGAGGCTATCACATCGATAACGGTACGACTGCTCGTGAGTCCATCGAAAGGTCAGTGTACAAATACTTAGTTACTTTCAATCGATTCAGTAACAGAACTAAAAATTTATTTCATTAGCGAGATTAAATTTAAATCAAACTCGGTTACAAACCTTTTAATGAACTTGGAATATTTTTGCTTTTGTTCATTTAAAAACGAAACAACTGGAATAGAAATGCTCCAGTGGCTTCTTTATTTCGAATACATAATTTCTCGTGGATGATCATGATTTTCATGAATTCTCTTTAATTTACTGAATACTAAACACTTTTCGTTCAAGTCAGTCAATAACCCCGTCTTATTATACCCATCGTAGCAAGTATATCAGTTATGTTAAATATTTGCTAGGAAATCTTAGAAAGAAAAAAAATAACGGTACAGATACCTCTGTATAGTCATTACCCATCCCTTTGATGAACTTACTATTAAGAAACCAAAACCTTTTTCCAACTTGATCTCTGATCTGAAGTCAACTTGCAACTAGCATAGGTCAATCAAAGAATTTATTAAGCCTTTCTGTTTCTTAAATTATGATTTCAAAATTGTAGACTTTTTCGAGTGAAAATTGTAGTCGTGTAGAAAATTTCTGTTTCAAAGGCTTTCCGGGCTTAAATTCGAAAATCAGCTAAAGCGAGAAATGTTCAGTAGATTTACTTAAAAGTACTGCCTATAGAGTGCTGCCTATTCGCAGCAAAATATGACTTGAAGTATTAGGTGGGGGAATAAGGAACTATCGGCTTATATATTTATTTTTTTTCTATGAAAAAAGTCCGCATTTCAAAAAAGTGGTAAAATAAGATTTTTTATTAAAAGTATTAGCGATCACTAGGTAATCATTTTCCCTATTTTTCGGACTACGGAGGGATAATTTAGCGCGACTTTCGTTTTTGTGAAATCATGGAACGATCGGAATTTTGTTTGTAGTGTCACTAAAGCAATTGTAACATATAAGCTGATGATCGAAAGGTCATGAAGTCAGTCTTCTTTGACGATTGTCATTATCAAAAAATTATATGAGCATTTACGATATCCTACGAACTTATTGAGTGACATGTTGTTGTAATGTGAAGTCTACAGATAATACTTTCACATGAAGAACCCATAGTGACTTAGAAAAACCGATGCTGTCTTATCACAAAGAAAAAGTTTAGATTCAGCAATACACTGAATAAAAAAGTACAATAAACTGAGGAAGTAAGCAGTAGTTTGACAATAACTACATGCCAACCGTCGACAATTTCAACCTGTGTTTATTCATTTCTCACGCTTTTGGGTCTACCTCCGAAAATAAAAATAAACAACAAACATTTGTGGCATAGATGATTCTGAAAGTTCCTGGTGCGAACACGTCAACATATATCTTCACAAACAGAGATTCCGAACGATAAAGTAGATATGAGACGATACCTCAAAGGTTTTGCGTTACCAGATAGAATGTTAATCCAAATTGCGATGAGATGACTCCACGTTGAGCGTCACTTTTGGTGTAAATATGTATGTATGTTTGTGTATGATATACAGGTGTAGTATAGCAGAAGAGTCTGGTTCGAATTCTAATGCGGTAGATTAAACCCATAAATGGTACTCTTCTGTGTTACACGTGTGGTATAGCAGAAGAGTCTGGTTCGAATTCTAATGCGGTAGATAGTACTTTACTGCTTATACCGAACAACATTTGAATGCTTGCCACGCTTCATCATTATGGTTTAATTTTGCTGAGATTGGTTAAGAGCTAAAGATAATGGAAGATCTTGCGAGTAGTAACAGATTCGACCCTTGCCGAATGTAACGCCTTTCTTCTGTTAAGGTGTAGAAGCAAATCACCGCATGATTATAATTTCATAATTTACCTAAAAGTAACATTAGCTTTAATTTTTAGCGGTTAAAAATATTTATGAGATTTCTTTCTACAATTTTTATATATTTCGCAACAACAACAATTATTATTCTAATGGCTCGCTTGAATTTTATTAAAGCGAAATTATCAGTAATTGTTTAAAAATTTCTGTTTTGTTTATTAATCATTTGAACATAATTAAAATTTTTGCCTTTTTGTTATAACCATTACAAGAGGCGAAATGTGTACTAATTATACTCTATAGAACTTTTGAGACAGAGGCAAAGTATATTAAATTTGTTCAGAGATATATAACACCCAAAAAGGCTTAAGATAGTCCCACCTTTTGCGCACTTATCTTCGGAACTGATTTAAGCTTGTCTGTCCGCCTGTCCATTTTGTTTTTGGCAGACTGGCGTGTTTTGGACCAAGAATGAACCCTATTAAAAATTGATTGAATCGGCTCATTTTTGCGGCCGCTCTCCGTACAACGACTAATATTGACACGTTTGTTATATGAAAATAATTACAATTTTCACTAATCCCTGCCAAAAATCGCCGATTAATAGTATTTTGATATACTAAATTGCTGTACAAAACACTGATCGGGTGGATCCACTTTCTGAACTCCCTTCCATGTAACCGTTCGTACGAAGACTAAAACTTTGCATCTTCCTTAAAGCTTTCCTATTTTCAATACTTTGTAGTGAAAATTGCTCCATGATAGTAATTTTGGGATAAGAATGAATTATTTCAAATTTGAATCGGGTAAGTCTAGAATTTTTCAGAGGGTTTTAATGAAACCCGAAATATAATGTTTTTTTATGACGAAAAGACATAATTTTTAAGATTTTATGATAAAAATTGGGTCAACAATTGCAATTTGATAACTTTAAGTGAGTCTTCTAGTGAGTTCTTTGAAGACCACAACATATGGAGAGTTTCATGTGCTATGCATTATGCGGTCATAAATTTTAATTTTTAGTATTTTATGAAAAAAAATAGGTGAAAACTAATAAAATTTTTGAAAAGAAACTAAATTTGCAGCACACACACACACCTTTCTTGCCTTTACTTGGGGGCAAGGTATAATTTTCGTTGTGTCATAGCGAAAATGAATGCATAATTTTATCAGACGAGCCAGTGTAGAGTGTTGAACGGTCGGGCTTGACCGATCCTAATTTTTTCACTTGCATTTTTGTTTAGTTTATAGCACCTAGTGACGATACGCATCAGAGAATTCATAGCACATGTACGTTCTTGTCCAACATTAAGTTCTGAATTGTATGAAGCACGGTCCTCTTCTCCTCCCGCATCTCATCCATTTTGTTTGCATCTTGTATGTACGCAGGTTTCCATCTTTAGAACTCAGTTATAGATAAAACAACTAAAATTTGCCACATGTGGACTTTAATAGATTCATAAAATCAAGCTTGGCCCGCGATGGGTAAGTCAAAAATTAAGCTAAAAAAAAGATAAGTCAAGAAGTGAAGGGAGTTAAGATAATGAGTAAAATAAACTGAAAAGATACCAAAATTTCGAATTGATATTAAACTTGATGTGTATTCAGTAGACCACCTTAGATCTATAAATAAATCTCTACAGGTGCTATCTTCAAAAAAGAAAAGCAGTGAACTGTAAGAAGTCCTTCAATGAAAATAATCTTCCTCGGTAGCTATACATATTCCTATCTTCCCGGCAATTTATGAATTTCCTTTCAAGTTTTATGTAAAAGTTGTCCTGGGCTGAGTTGCTTGAATGTCAGGTGCTGCCATTTTTTACTTCAAAAAAGGATTTATTGTTCCTCCTGGCCATTCACTGTCATTGGCATCAAAACCAATGCTTTTAAGCCGTGGACAATTGGGATATGATGGAGCAGCATTACCATAAGCTTTTTAAAGGCTTTGACGGGCTTCGGCAAAAGATTTCGTCAAATCAAACAACAAAAGAAATGATTGCCGAAGATGCAGTTTTAAGCGCTCCATGATTAATATCTGCGTCATGAACTTTGAAAACAGCGAAGATTTTTTAGAGAGATATTCAAGTTCAAGTCTTTTCTATAACTAATGTGTAGCGAGAATTTTTGTGAAATATGTGGCGATCGAATCATGATTTTATTTCACTATTCTTTCTAATAGTCATGAAGGAAACGCTTTGGATTAATTCTTCTTTTACTAAACTTTAATATCCACCTTTTAGTTAAAAAAAAATTTCTGTGAATTTAATACGTTTGCCGATAAAAAATGACATAGCATCGTATTGCCAAAATTTAAGAATAACGTAAGGCAAAGACTTCATAAACGCTATTTGGATCGTAAAGGCACTCGCAACATATAAACACAGTTATGCGTTAGAGAGGATTATAAGTCCATCAGGTAAGATTGTGACAACTTTTTGTCACGTTTTTAAGTACGCTTCGCTCTACAGTGGAAAACTGCTTTCGAAGCGATAAGTTCTTAGAACTTGCGGTAGAAGAACTAAAAACAACTTAGATCGACTTTCAATCCTAAGCTCAGCAAATTAATATCTAAATGAGTAATTTAACAAGAGTGATAAGCCGAAATAGATGTAAGCACACAAACTAATCTCATTCAAAATAAGTACGTATAACAAATGAAAGCCTTAATGGATGGATACACTCCTGCAATGAAGATAATATATATATGATACTTAACAAGCGTTCAACCTTCAAATTCTTTCAAGCATTCATTTAACGGTCTGTGGCATTTTTTCACAAATAATAATATTATATTATGCAATCGAACGTTTATGATTTGTATGCTTAAGTAAATAACAAAAAATAAAGTTATTCCATTAATTGTATAGTAAGTATGTATAAAATATTTTTTCCTGTCATCATCAGTTGATGTCATAATTGTGCGGCTAAATGCTTGCTTATAAAAAAGTTTTAATCCATTAGAAAATTACGTTATCAATAGCAAATATACGATTCATTCAGGACTGGAAAAGCAAACATATGGGAAAACCTTCTGAAAATTAACGCATTTACTTAACGACATACCTTCAGCTATTTTTAGTTTAAATTACAATTTATTTACAAAGTCACAAAAAACAACGCCAACGGTTAAGAATCAAATAGAAATGTTTTTCATTTATTTTACGACAAATTTCCAAATAAAGGGAATAACTATAAAGCGTACAAATGTTTGAAGAATTTATTAACAAAATAAAAGTAAATAATAAAATTAAGAATATTTTAGTCGGACAAGGATAACCTTTAAATACCCTACACCGCTTCACCTAGCCCCGTTATTCACTAGTTTTGGTAATGATACATTAAAAATTACACATCACTTTCATTCTATTTTCATAATGGTCCGCACATTGGAGAATGCCTAAAACATAACATAATGTGATCCGAAAATGTTATCATTTTTCAGGTTCCGCAATAAAAAACTAGAAATTACGGTTAGCTGGAATAACGACTTGCTTTTCTTGATAATACCTATATATGTTGGGGAATAAAAAAT